AACATTTAAATTATCCGCTATTCCAGGTAGATGATTAATTTCGATCAACATCCGTAATCTAAGATTAGCTCGGTACGTACTGTTAGCTCCCCATACTTTTTAAGTGCTATTGCTGGATTCCTGCGACAGATTGTTCGATTTTCAATGAAATATTGCGCTCTGTTCCATTTTCATGGTATCAATAAATTTCCATTTATTTTGATAAGCGGCACCAATAAGTTGGCTAGGGTCTAAGTGCTACTCGTCCACCATATTGTTAATTATGCTAAGGTATTCTGAAACAACATATTTTACACCATCAAAAATATTTCCCCCTTTCAATTGTCATTATTAATATGCGCCCTTTTTAACCACACACTTTTGGTCACATCCATATTCGTTTGGACCGACACTCAATGATGGTGAATTCTCTGGAATAATAAGGCGTGAAACTTTCAACCTCCTGAAGTGAACTGTCCTGGTAATAACTTTTGAGTTTTTCTACTTTCATTACAAACTTTTTAATTGATATCTGTGTTTCTATGTGCTTTTATATGTGAACATCAGTTAATCAGTGTCTATGACTTAACATGTAGTGTGATTTGTGTCATTTATATGGACAGATCTAAGTATTACGTAGCAGGAATTGGAAGTAGAATTCTTACTGACAAGAGGAATATGAGGATAATCAGAGTGACAGCAGGAATGAAAGCTTGTAAAGGATAACTCAAGGAAGAAGTGCAAATGGTATGTATCGTTTTCATATTTTACAAATGCAGTGTGTACGTTCGTATGATATGATTGATTTTCTCTTACAAGTTTTCGTTACATTGTTGTTCCGTAATAATTAATGTTATGAAACGTGTAAGAAAGAATCATGGAAAATGAATATTACTTTAGAGACCACTGAAGACAATAACCACAAATGTCTTTGATCTAATTCAAATTTCTCAGTTATTGTAGGTCCGTTCTGGACAGCTTACTCTCGCTTCCGACGTAACAGCCCAAGTTTGATTTGTGGCACCGTACAACCTATTTGTACTGGATGATGTAGGTTGAAACATATAACAAAGCTGTTTTATTTCAATTTGCTTATATATCAAAGTTCCGTTGCTGATGCACTTCACTTCTACATCCATATCATTTAATAAATAAGACATTTGTGATAAAAGTCTTAGTAAAGGTAAAATTACAGAATAACCCGAGAAATCTACTCTTGAAATTATTCAACATGATGCACCTATAACCCCATATCGTTTTTGACCTGAGATTCTCAGGTACCATACAACCATATTAGGACTCACTTCCAGTCAGTGACAACTTATTCAGTTTTTTAGCGCCATTTAATTCATAAGAAAGTAAAATATTGGTTCAGAGTAACCACTTTGTAGTGAGCTTATGTTTGGTATTGCTGTCGTCATAGATAAAACATTTGGACAGTATTCATTTAAATCCATTTGGAAGTTAAATATCAATAAGCACACGAACACCATTTAGTTAAATAAATGCTTTAGAAGAAAATGGCTTTTAATTATTGTAAAAACATTTTCATATACTCCCATAACTTCAAAAAAAAGGAATGTTTACTGGAGGAAGTATTGAGATGACCAGTTGTAATCAGATTAGTTGGAGTAAGATCAAATGGTGTCTCATAGTTTTGTGCAACCAACATATGAAATATCAATTATAAATAAATTACATAACATTCAAGTTTTTACTGATTTATATTTTGATTTCAGTGTGTTCTCGGTTCCTTTTAACTAAGAATAACAATTTAATACTTTTAAGGGCAGTTTTTCTTCAAGATTTTTTGTATTTGTTTAAACGCGGCTACATAAGTTTCATTTCATGCTATATCAGTTTGTAGCAAAGTTTAAAATAGAATTTGTCCTAAAATGAAACCATTTTCTTTGTTTTTGTTATTTTGACAACACTTTTATGAAATCAAATCAAAATGGCCTTCTTAAAACAACTTTTGAATAATTTCATCAAAAACATACATTATGTGTCATGTTTATTTGAATGAAGGAATCAAGTTACTGTTTCATGTTTAATAGGTTCATAGCTTTGATAAATTGTAACAAACTTGAGTTAAGTTCCTTGGTTTAATAAAACAAAATTTAAAGAATTGATTTATGTCTAACGTATAAACCACATGGTTTTAACCATATTTTTACAATCATAACTAATAACAACATTGGTGACACTCAAAGCGTGGAATAAAAGTAATGTATGTTACCTACTCACATCCCTTAATGGTCATCGTAACTTGATTGTAACCCAAAGAACATCACTAATCCGTTTAAATCCAATCAATTTTAATAAAAACTTAAAATTATTATAAATTTTTGTTCAATATTTTAAGGATTAGTATCAAACCTATGTGTTAGATCTCACAACTAGTGTATAAGTCCTTGTTTTTAGATTAGAAAATGTTTACATTCTAATTCAATGTGAAATGTGATACATAATTGTTATTTACAGTAATTATGAATATTGGATTTAATTTCAAAAAAGTATTTCAGAAATAGTGCTCAAATATTTCCAGTTGTTTTGTTACACTTGTATTTCGATTATTAATTTTACAACAAAAGTTTTTATCTAGTATTAAATTAAGTTTCAAAAAAATATTGACTGACATTCAGATGTGTAAGACTATGTTTTGTAGTGACATGGAATAAATTGAAACATAAATTAACTTTGAATAGGTAATACTTTCCTCAGAGTCCCATTCCGTACTAACATGAAGATATTCCCGTCGAATGAAATCTCACCACATTCGTTTTACACGCATTTCGTGAGTTGTGTTAAATAATCATTAGAGACTAACCGGATTATGGTGGGATAAGACGTAAAGACTTAAATTTTGTAGACCAGTAGTATTATCATTTAACATAAGTATTTAGTGAAACAATTTAGGTTAATTTTGTCTTATTTTTCCAAAGTTAATTACCAACAATTTCTATTTGTTTCCAACTTCAATGATAACTTCTTTCTGTTCATTTATTTGCTAAGATGATTTTATGTAGATTTTATAAAATTCGAAGCAAATTTTTTACTATAAACTCATTTCATCTAGAGAACTGTGGAAAAAACCCGTTTGGTATTAAACATCTATTTTGTTTTAATTTGAAACTCATTAGCGGTACACATCAACAACCCTCAAATGTGATAAAATTCAAATTGTACATTATTGAAAGTTGTTAAACAGCTCAGTCTTTTTATAACTATTTGAAATATACTTATAAGCAAAGATGGATGGTGGCTAGAAGTGGAATCCAGGACGCGTGTTTGTGCCCTATTAAGGACTTGTCAGCTAGATGTACTTGCACTTCAGAGTTGATGTTCACTCCGGAACTCGAACCCAGTACAGTTCGGTTCAAACGCCATCGCGTTATTCTCTTAGCTACTTATTCCTGATAATCACATGCTTGTGCGATGGAGTGAAGTTTAAATTCACTTGGTGTTGTTTGCTGGTATCTTTCCATTGATGTTTAGGACTGCAATTTATCAGTCTCTTATTGGCATATGTGCATTCTGTATGGATTGCCCCGATACCGCGTTGAGTCACAAGATGAACAAAGATGAACATAGACTCTGGGGTTCAGGTAAATCCAGCTGATGAGTCCCAAACAGGACGAAACGAGCGTCCTGGATTCCACTGCTAGCCACCATCCATCTTTGCTTACAATGCTTGTGACTTAAGGCAATATCGAGACAATCCGCACATGATGCAAATATGCCAATAAGAGACTGATAAATTGCAGTCCTAAACAACAGTGGGAAGATACAAGCAAACAACACCAAGTGAATTTGAAATATACTTGTTGTAAAAGAAGTTTTTATGATCATCAAATAACCAGTTATCAACTAAACAGAATTGTGAATGAATCATATGAGGATAATTTTAATAAATTTAAAATAATCTATTTAAATACATAAAGACTTCTTATTGGTAAATAATTACTCATCTTATGTTTTTTTGTAGTTAAATGAAATAACACTATAAAAACATTTTCCAAATTTGTCAATGTTATTTTATATATAACTTGTGTCTAGACATGAAGATTTCTATGGTTGGGATTCAAAAACATAAAAAGCGACATAACTCAAATAAATTTGATGTTTTCAAGAAATAATCATTATACAACTAACTAAATAGCATGATATCTATTTTTCAGTAACAATTTAATACATTAAGGTATATTGACATTTTAAAGTTGTATTGAGCAATCGTAACTATAACATCTATAGTTGCAAATATTCAATTTTACTGGATCCAATTTAGATTCTGGTTTTAAATGTTCACTTGAAAATAAGTAAATATATCAATATGAATAAGTAGAACTCTAAATTTATAATGCTATCGGGCTTGATGCTTAATGTACTGGGCTCTAATTGTGTGTATATCAACACTAAGATTCAGGTACATCCTGCTGACGAGTTCCAAATATGACGAAACACGCGTTTTAATCTTCACTCCTGGCTACTATCTAAATTCAGTATATATTAAGGTAGTCTACTCAAGATGTTCATATATCAATAGAGACCGATCAATTACAGTCTTTAATATCGGCAACGTAAGAATACAATACTTAACAATAATGAAAAGACAGGCTGTCCAATACCAATTGGCTTATGCTATATTTTTCAGTTCAAACTCTAAAAATGCTTTTCACCAAAAAAATCTAGTACGAATGATCTAGGAACTTGAATTTTCTTTTTTTAGCTACCATTAACTGCTATAGTTATGTTTTCATACAGAGCATTCGATCTCCTACTTTGCATTGAAACCTTAAAGTAAACGTAGTAGAGTAATTTTTGCAAATCTAAGTGGATATGAACTATTTAGTCTGTTTTCTATCTTCTGATCATTAACACTAAATAATCTGTAACATATCAATAGTGTTTATATATATATATATATATATATATATATATATATATATATATATATATATATATAACAGCACATAGATCGTTTAACTGTTCAAAGACAAATATTTTATAAATAAACTAACTTCAACTATTTTTAATCCAAGTCTTAACACATTATCTGGATCACGTATACTGAATAAATATAATCCATGTTGAATAGCTGTTTTATTTGGTTTGAATATTAAATGAATAAAAAATGTTTCATTTGGTAATTTTGATTGTGGAAATAAACGTAATGCTGGTACACTATATAAAAGATCCCCTGAAGGTGGTTGAATTTTGATAGGGAATTCTTCATCAGCACGTGCTATATCATAACGACGATTTAATAGATAAGTTATATCCCAATTAACACCTATATAAAGCAAAAATATAAAAAAGAATAATAACATAAAATTTATTTAACAGGGAAAATAAGATCTATTTAATTATATATTTTCACTGAATTAAATCCAATCGATTTTTATTATTGTTAAATTTATGACTTTCACGCTTAATGCTTAACATTAGAGCTGTCAAAGTTGGTTTTATGGAATTGTTTCATTTGAAGGTTATCATCATCAAATAATTACATCTACTACAAAGCTAAATTAAAGCAAATAGAATTGAGTTAACTGTTTCATACTAGTTTGATATTTCTCTAATGTAGTTTATTTGTTATTTAAATTATAGTAAATGAATCTTGTACAGGTTCATTGCAAGATTTTATCGATTTACATGGAAGGTGATAGGGCGTATTGTCTAAAGGTTTTATTTCATTCGTTTTGGGGAAAATTTTCAACTTAGCAAAATATCATTGTTTTGTATTAACAATACATTGTGTATAAATCATAGAACCTCTAATTTGATATTGTATTACCTAATTCATTTTTAATCTTCTTGAACAGGTTATTTAGAGAATTTTAAATGAATATAAATGAAATTCTGAAAATATTAAAACGTTTTGTCACCTAATTTTTGTGCACAAAGAAAATAACATTAAAACCTAATTATATGGTTGATTAGGTTGTACTACCGCTTATTGTCTATTCACTGACTAATATTAATAATATTCATTTCATATAGATTCGAGGGAGACCAGTGTTTAGAATGCTCAGGTTAGAATTAATTAAATGTCTTGTACTCATTGATCTTTACTGGTTTCTCAGTTGACTTCTGTTCATGATGAAAACTACTTGGTTAATTTATTGGAAAATATTTTTAATGATATAAGTAAAATACTTATTATTAACCGATTTGATTGGTACTGGATCAACAAATTCAAGTGAGAGTTCTCGATGACCAGGTTGAAATGAACTAAACACTGGGTGGTAGTTTTAATTATTTTTCGGAAAACGTATTTTTACCGACTAGTTCTTAAAAAAAAATTATTCTTCGGCCTAATATTGAGTCTGTCCATAAACATATATGTCCATATAGACATTCATATCTTACATTCATTCATTGTCTATTATCATCTGAAATCCTAGTCTTACAGATTATTTGGGCATATTTTTCACATTTGCATAGACCAAGTTTCACTTTATACTGTCATATACAACATACATTGTGTAAAATGTTGTATTGTATTACCAATATTCCAATAATCGGAACACAATGAACTGAAAATTAAACTTTTTTGTAAACTGTTGTTAGTGATGTGTTGAACTTTACTGTTATTCGCTTTCATATAATGATTAAATAATATCGAATAGAATTCGTCTGATTGCAAGATGGGTGAGTGTTAATTTAAAATAGCGTAGGTAAAATATAAGGAAAAATATATGATTACTGAAAGAGAAAAAAAATACTGAAAATGGAATTTGTTTGTAAACAAATATTGGTGATTAAGCTACCTAGTAATGATTACGAAATAAGAGAAACTAATTTAAGTTGCTTTGTTTAGATTGTGAAATTTGTAGGTAGTTTTTTATTATCGTAAACTGATATCAACTTTGTAACCCTTAAAAATTGGGAAAAATCGTACTTATGTATCACGTCAGTTTAGGACTTTTTAACATTATGACCTTGTGCTGTCACACATGATCAAGCTCCATATAGTACAGTGAGGATGTTATCATTCATTCACATAATTATCCGTCTACGAAACTGAATAGATATCGGATCATGTAGTGTATAGTAGCTGAATGGCTCACTAGCATCGAGTTAACCAAGAAATCTAATAATTCATGATTATATCTGTTGTGTAAGGTGTTATTTACTTACGAGTCACAAATTATATCTAAAACTCTCATTCCTGCTTCTTAGTTGTCAATGTGTCCCCAGTTGACATATGTTTATAATGAAAATTATTTGCAAATTAGTGGTTCATATCTATTGGAGATTAAAATCCTGTCCACATTCTTTTGATACCATAAATTTTCCGACATAGATGGAGTCGTTGAATAAAATATTGGATTATATTTAATTTGGTCTAACTTATTTTAGTTTTGTTATATTTTAAAATATTTCAGCATTGATTCGCAACTCTAGATGCTCGAGAACTAATTCAAAGCATTACTACAAATTTGACAATCATTTATCTAGTGTTCATGTTCGCTGATTAACCTTGTATTGTATCATCTTTTTTTATTGACAGAGTTAATATACAAGCTTATAACAGATGACTAGATAATATTTCAATCAATCATTAATAAATAAACTAATAGACATGAAGTTGATTTCTATACAGAGTATTATTTTATAGAACAGTTCAAAATACAATTTTTATTACATTCTATGATGCCAACATATTATTTTTCAAAATTTTCTGACTGTAAAACTGTCATTTATCATCCTTTAAAGTATTAATTTGAAATATGTTAAGATTTAATTTGCGCGAAATTCAATGGTGGTTTAAAAAGTAACGAAATAAGTTAGATAATATTTAAGAGGAAGAATGTATTCGTAAAATCTCAGCGAAAGAATTTGAAGTAAATCCAACCTTTTGCTTGGCAATGTAGTCCAAGCTATTTCCAGTTAGATAAGAGTTGTTCAATAAACCTAATGCTTATTAATTTGTATGTCTTATGAATAAACCAGCCTAAATATTTATACAAAGAAAAATTGAGAAAAACACCTTTTCGACTAATACATCAGATCTTAAAACTCTACAGTCTATAAGAGAAGAATAAACTTCGAATACTTGGAACTATCCGGCTTAAATAAAAAGAATTCGTTTCGTGATGCTACATAATATCAACACCTTGAACTTTATAAAGTATAATTCTCATGGATAGATTAAAAGTTCATAAATGCTTTCATTGATTCGTTGTTTAACCTAAACATTGGATTTGAAGTGATTTATTAGGCTTTTGAGAGCAAATATATATTCTACATATTTTAGGTCATAGTCATACGTATCGGTAAAATAAATTGGACAAACGGATTTAACGGACAAGTGTTTAATATAGCGAAACTACTATGATTTGTGCCACTTTTATCGACATGAGTAGTATATAATGATAGTCAGGATTAGAATGTCTGACAGTAGAAGGTCAAGAAGATCAAGGAGGAAAAAACGGGAGCAAACAGCAATTGGTATGGAAACGCAGGAACAGTAAAGTCTGAGACGTTTGACTGATATTTGCAAATGAACAGTCAAGTTTGAGACAACTGATTGATATTTTGCAAATACAGTATTTACTATATGGTTCTCAAATTTTACTTAGATGTTCTGTAATTTTGTGTTCAAATACATTCGATTGTCCCCACTTATTTTCTCGTTCACTACATTACCACCTTGAAGAATCAATTCTATATTCTTAATTTTCCATTTGTTTCTATTTCTCGATGATAATGGACGTTACATTTTTATAAATATACAAGTAAAGGTACTTAGCTGCTTGTTTGTGCTGTTCAAAACACACTTGGAACGAACTGAAATAATCTCCCTATGGTTTATAGATTAGCGGCTGACAAGCTTTTCGTCATTGTTTGAAAGTCATTCAGAAAAGGAACTGTAGAGTCTTTTTTTAAAGTTTTAATGAGATTTGTCTTTATGCTTGTAATTTATGTTCGTTTGTGCTTAAACATGGTTCGATGTAAACGGTAGTTGAATTTATAAACTCAAGTTATTTACCATTTATTACTTAAGTGTTTTTATTCCAACGATTTATTTTCAATATATATAAATGCCGTTGACACTGGCCATTTCGAAGAATCAACTTGTTATGATTACAAGTGGATGTAATGTATAGAATACTGTTTCGGAAATTATGTATATGTATGAAACATAATAAGGGATTTAAATGTCAACTATTTATCTTATCTAATTTAATCAAGTGTTTGTGATTAGTAGATAAGTATCTGCGATTTCTTAGTTTCAAAAACATGCCATTTTTATGTATGTTTACTATAGACTAGTCGGTCCATTATTGAGATATTAAACTGAAATTTATTAATTTGGATTCTAAGATGGTTCGGGTTTACTTTCAACTTTATTGATTAGTTTATTATACAACTGAGAATTGTAATTTAAAACATATCAGGGAAAAAGAAAAAGTCGCTAATTTATGATATTATATTCCATGTTTAAAATTGATCAATTCTTAATCTTTTTAATTGTTAAAGTTAGGACAGTTTTATGATATTCAATTTTGGTGAACATCTAAAAAAGTATGTTTAAAAATTTTTTAACACGTTTAAACATTCATTACAATCATATTCTTTCTTGTTCGTGTCTGTAAAAAGTTGCATTTCAAAAAAGTACATTTCGATGTCTATTCACAATTGTGTTGTGAGTGGGCGTTCACACTAAAGTTCAGGCTTAAATTTATTGAAGATTCTATTTTATATTCGTAAATTTTAGATGAAATACATCAAATGATCGAAGCTTTGTGATCTCAGAAATTGATAATAATTTTAATTATACCTAGTTAATTAATATTATTTTCCTAATCATTGAATGCATCCTCAAAAGTCTTTTGAAATTTCTTCCTCTTCTTCTAAACGCTTTTTTATCTTCATGTCTCTATTTCTAAAAATATTCATTTCAGGCGAATATTTCCATTTTTAGTTTCTATGACTACGTCTATATTTTGGATGTATTTTTTGTCAACTTATAATATTTTGTCGTCTGTTCATAAACTGATATGATGAAAAGGAAAGTCAATGTTCAAATGAATTGCTCATTATTAATTTTATTCAACATTACATCCGTTTTGATTCAACGTGATGATCATTCAGTGCAGTATTTGATTTGTTTTCACAGTATGATATTTTTCTTCTGCATAATATACAATATTCTTGTATTCATTTGACATGAACTATGCTCAGTAAGTGATTTGTTATAACTGAGTATGTGATTTAGTCCTAATTATTAATCAAAATGGGTGTAAAATCAATATATAAACCAGTGTATTTTAGACTATTATC